TCGCTTCCAGAGATCTTGAATCTTCGACATTCATATAGTTAAGGTATGTGAAATAAAATTCTATACCTTCCCACATTTTAAAGAGACCTATTCTCGATTTATAAGCGCAATCCGTCAGCATTTTCTCTTGCTCTTCATTTTGTATTTTAACTTCTAAAAGTGCTATAATTATACTGACCCGGTTCAGTTACGATACAGGTCTCAGTTGGATTACAGGGCATTGAATGATGTCTTCCGGTATTTGTAGAATTGATTGCGCCTCGAAATCGTTACATACAAAAGGCAAATTAGACTAGGGCTAGCTTAGGGTAAAAATTCACTGGTCTATGACATCTTCGAAACATCATCCTGCTATGTAGAATGATTCCTTTGCTTTTCATGCTGGTTATAAATTGCTCTGCTTTAGGGGGGAGCAATTACTGTCTGTGTATAACTGTCAAACCCAAGTCTTTTAATTTTTTTTTGAAATTGTAAATTAAAAGAGAGTTTCAGAATCCATAAGTACATCAAAAAACATCATTTTTATCGAAAACAACTCATCGATTTAGTAACTTAATTGTTGACACAAGAAACAGCTTATAAACTGTTAAGAGCTCGTCTAGATAGTTTCTGAACTGTTTCTGTACTTTTTTTTCTTCAAACGGATACAGGGTGTCCTGTTCGGCAAACTGTGTTTTGTTCTCTCTGTGACTTGTGCTTAAAATACATTTTTAGTACCGGATACAGAGTATCCTGGTACGCTTGAAATATCTACCTTCTACTTCTTAGCAGTTTTTGTTCAATTGACATTACTTTTACCGGATACCGGGTAACCTATTTTGTTGCTAAAGTCTAACTTATCATTGGTAGTTTTATCAGAAGGAGCAACTTGTATTTCCTTTCTTCCATAAATATCATGACACAAAGGTTTGCAAATTGATTTTCCATGACATCGATGATTTTGAATATGCACCACGAAAAATCGCAACAACATACTTAAGCCTTGTAATGTTCGTTGATACAAAAACTTCACGCCAATTGTTAATCTGTATTTTGTTTTTTGAAGGTTGTAGCGATTAAAAACTGAAAATTAGGTGTTTGAATGTTTTGCATTCTAAATTACAAAAGAAACTTTCGGGGGCGTTCTCAAGAAATAAAAACCAACGCTTTTCTCGACAGAGTAGCGAAATAATAAAGAATGTTTTTCCCATACATCAAGCATTGAATTTTTCAATGCTTGATGCATTTAATTTCACAATTTTACTTCTGAACAGAGATAACGATTTGCAGCAAAACACAAGCCAGAAATTGCAGCTCGAAGATAACTACAGTTTTGTAAGCAGGAATAAAAAACATTTCGCGATTTTCTCTGTAATGTTATCATAAAACGGCTATTTGTAACGTTAAAAAAAATTACAAAATCACTCAAATTTATTTCAACAAAGATGTTTGTATTTCTCGACAAATTTTTGTTTTCTTTCGTGAAAATAAATTCTGTTGGTATCAAAGTATTTTGATCTGACATATCGGAAGCAAAAAAATATATAATTTTCAGACTGAAATGTTTGAGTTGTAGGGCATGGTAAGCCTACCCCACCATCTAAAATTGGATGATATAAAACTTCTTTCTTTATATCGAGTCTGCTTCATTTTTTCAGTTCTGCATTTATAATTTCTTGGCAATTACTAACAGTATCCAAGTTAACTGTAGTATGACGAGCCAAATGAAAAATATTAGGGAAAACATAAACTGACAGTGTTAACGACTTGACCCTCATAGATTTACTCGACGTTTTTTGATTTTGAGAACTCAACATTAGTTCAAAATTTTCAAACTTTTTGGGAAGGGTAAAACAAGACACCTAATTTTTTTGTTTCGTTGACTGTTTCATAGGGTGATACATCAGGAGTAGAAAGCGCTTCACTTTTATTTATCATCATTTGAGTTTGTTTGCAAAATGTATCGATTAAGCGAAACAACCTGTCAACACATCGGATTTTGATGAGGCAAGTTATGTCGTCTGCATATGAAACTAGTTTGGGGCGCAATAACCTGAAACCTTCAACTGCTTCTGTAGATTCAATTGCTTGAAGAACGGTTTGGATAAAAATTATGGATAAAAATGCGGAAAAAGGGCAACCTTGTCTCACACCGCGATGAATTTTGAAGCTGGCTGATAAAAAACCATTTATCTCAGTTACTGCTTTTGAGTCTAAACACAAAGTTTCAATAGCTTTAACGGAAAACTCATCAATTTTTAACCCTTTTAAAATTTTTAATGGGAAAAGATCTGTCAACTCTGTCAAAAGCTTTAGGAAAACCTAATTTTACAGCACGTGAACCTCGGTTAGCCAATCGTACTGGAGTAATCGCTTTTCTGAACTTTTGTATTGCTGTGTGCATTTGAATTCCAGGCAAATACGGGTGCTGATGATTTTTTACAACTTTGCAAAGCTCTTTTTGTATTCTATTACAGACTACATGGGCAAAAATTTTCGGGTCATTATTCATGAGACTGATCGGTTGAAAATCTTGTACTGCTATGGCATTTTCAGATTTCGGCAGCAGTTTGATTATTGCTAAATAAAAACTGTTTGGATGTTTTCCATTGCGAACAAAATGGTTGAACACTTTAGCTAAAATTGAACAAAATTCATCCGTGAAAGTCTTATATAGCCGAGATGTAAGTCCGTCTGGTCCAGGCGAGGTTTTCAAATTCACTTTGACTATAGTCAAGTGAATTTCATCTCTTGTTGTTTTCCTATAGCCATCAATCTCATTATTTTCGAGTTTATTTTTTGATAAAAACGTCATTAGTAGTTGATCAAAGTCTGTTGTAAAATTGTTCGAAAAAATGTTTGAAAGATACTTTCGAAATTAGTTAAGAATATTCTCATCCGTATGATAAACGTTCTGATCCACTTGAATTTGCTTGATTTAGTTAATTGTTCTTTGAGGTCCATTGACTATAAAATTTAGGCACACCCTCAAAAGTATAGCTGAGAGTTGTCTGAGTTTTTCGAAAATCGGAAAAACTTTTTTTCTTTGAAATTTTTTCAAGATGTTCCAGCACTTTTTGAAGATGTTTCATGATACTTGAATATTTTTAGTTCTTTCTGATCTACACGCTTTTTTTCTGTTGAATAAACTTTAGAAGGTCACGAAAATCATGCTTTAAAATTTTGTAACTACTTGGTGATTAATTTTTAAAAATAGTTTTTTAGTTCTTCACAAACGTTGTTTTTTAAAATTTCTTCATTCAATTTCCAGTAACTATGGCCGCGCTGATACAAGTTGGATGGCTTAATAAAAACATGTAAGAGCAAATGATCAGAGATTGATATTTGAGTGCTTTGCATAGAATTAAACTCTGTTTCGAAATTCATAAAAACATAATCTAAGCGCCCAAAAGTTTTATGTTGTTTATCATATTGTATTTTATCACAAAAATCATTCTTGAGTGCGAAATCAACAAAACCAAAACAATCAAGAATTTGTTCTTTGAGTTGGGTAAACCGTTTGATACGTTCATCATTTAACTCAAGTATTGAAGAACTGTTAATATTGTCATAACTCAGCGCATTAAAATCACCCGTCATGATAATTTTCAATTTATTGGGTAAAAATCTGATGCCTAATTTCAGGGAAATCAAAGTTGCTTGGAAGGAATTTGGGTTCGCATAAATTTTGATAAAAAACAAATCAAGTTTGACAAATTTTAACAATTGAAAACCTGTACTTGAAGCAAATTTTTTGCAGGACTCAAGTTTGCTGACCATAACGTTAAGAAACCAGAATTATTTGAGCTTGTTATTAAATCAAATTCAACAAACTCAGATGTATATTTTTAAGATTTGATATTTTTGCTTCCTGAATGCACAAAATGAAACAAGGCTATTTTTTTAATACTTGGCATTTTTTGTTAAATCAATGTAGTTTAGCTGGATATCGTACGATAAAAAATGTTAACGGAAAAAATATCTGGTTTTTCGCACATAGAAAGTTTGCTAAAACTTCCCTCCAACCAAGTCTTCTCCGTAGTTTTTGGATTTCACTTTAGGCCCTTTCTTCCGTGTTAAAACTGACCAAGAGGCTGGTGAAATTTCACGCTCTCTTTTTGTAAGCGTTCTTCCGTCAGAGGATCATTTCCGTTTGTTATTTTCGATATTTAAATTGTCTTTTTTTTTTTTTTTTGCAGAGTAAGAATGAAAATCTACGACCTGATTGTTGAGAACCTCAACCTTTTGTTTTTCTTCGCTTGGAGTTGCCGCACTGTTTGTTTTAGATTCAATAACCAAAACTGTAGATGTTGGTGTTTCCACATTCTTTTCTTCGACATTTTCGCTGCCATTACAAAACTTATCGCTTGTTGTTTCGTCATCGTTTTTCTCTTCGCTGGCATTATTGGAGCTTGATTTTTCTGGGGACTGATTATTTGGGTTATTGAGTATTTTGGTTTCCTATGTTGCACCAATAATCGTGATGACCTTTTTCTTGGCATCAGAGATCTTGCATTTTAGACATTCATGTAGTGAAGGTATGTGAAACGAGATTTCTACACCTTCCCACATTTTAAAGCTATCCATTCTCGATCTGTAAGACCAGTCCGTCAGCTTTTTCTCTTGATCTTCGTTTTGTTTTTATACATCGAAAATTGCTCTTCGTGCGTAAACATACTGACCTGGTTCAGTTGCGATACAGGTCTCACCTTGGAATATAGGGCTATGAATGATGTCTTCCGGTAATTGGAGAATTGATTACGCCTCGATATTGTTACATACAAACGGCAAATTAGACTAGGGCTAGTTTAGGGTAAATGTTCTTTGGTCTATGACATCTTGGAAACACCATCCTGCTATGTAGAATGATTCTTTCGCTTTTCATGGTGGTTATAAATTGCTCTGTTTTATGGGGAGCAAAAACTGTGTGTATAACAAAAAGAGTTTACCAATTTTCGATTTGAAGTTATTCAAATTCGTCATGTTCACAAAGAATCAAAATTTTTATCGAAGAATATTTATCTACAAAAGAACATTTAAGTCACAGAGTTTGGTTATTTAGTGGTTGATTTTTTGTATCATTGATTATGAAACTCAAAAAACAATTGTTATAGACTTAAACAATGTCACGTTACACAGCCTTTTCTTTTGGGTTTCTGATTGCTGTATTAGCATCTTCGTACGTAAGTATCTTGCTTATTTGCGTCCTGATAATGGATATCTTTTTGTACAAGTTTGATTGATATTGAAGATAGTATGATCCTAACCTTGAAGAGTTTTGTTTAAACTTGATTGACATTGAAGATAGAGTAAAATTTTGCTTCAAATTGAGTAGGGAATTCATGAAAAGCTTGGCAATCAAAGTTGCCGATTTTATAGATTGCTGAACTTTCATGGACGAAATAAAATAAGTTCACTATTTTATGATTTTAATTTTTGAATCAAAATGCTTAGGGAGAAATTGTACCAAAAGTTGCCTTGAAATGTGGAAAACCAATTTTCTTCAAAGACACTCAAGATGAATGGTCTGAATCAGAACAGGAATTTGATGCATGTGGCAGCGAGGAGGAAATCACGAACAGAGTGTTTGAGATATGTAAAGCAGTAAGGTTCTTTTCGGTATTGTCGGTTGATAATGATAAACAGCAATTTGAAATCAATAATCACAAATGATTATGTTGGTGCAAATTTTGAAAATTTAAAGGAATACTGTGTATTTTAGCTCTATGCTTCAATAGAAACTGAAACTATCAGTGAAGCTACCGCGAAAGAGTTCGTGCCTAGTTTCTGTTCTACCAACGAAGATTCGACTTCATGTTTTGGAAGACAGTTTATTTGTCACAGTGAGTGCTTTCAAAATGGTATCGCAATTGAACCTATAATTTTTATTGGATAAATTGTTGCTTTTTATTCACCATCTAATCTTTATACATTTAAAGTTTTATCAATTTTATTTGAAATGGGAATTTTTTCATCTTTTATTTAAATTAGGACTTTTGCCAAAGTATGTATTCGTTTTTAGAGAAAAGTTTCACAGCCAGGAGTTTGGTGGTACCTCAGAATTGCACCTTTGGGCATAGTGTGGCTAAAGATTGTGCCCTGGACTCGACTTTAAAAAGTCTGGCTCAGTATGAATGTGGAACAAGAATGAAGCCAGCGTATCTGCTACATGATTACGGGGTTCTCCCACCCAAGTGCGATAGTGAGTCTAGTATAGTAAAATTTGGATAGCCGAAGATTTAACATTATCGTCCTTCATTCGTGAAAAGAATACCCGTAACAGCACCAGAGATCATTGTCTAAAGGATGCGTTGCTTTGGTTCTTTAATTTGTTCTATATATTTTTTGATCTTAATGCAGTCAAAGATTCTGGCTAAACCAGGAATCAATAGCATAGGTTTTCTGGCCTTACCCAGGTACATAATGGTTTAATTTTTTTTCAGATGAAATCAACAAGTGGAAAGGCGTGGAATTCGTTTGTTGTCCAGTTGACCCAGCCACTATGATCAAAGGTTATTCTTTATAAGCTTTTTTCCTCCCAACTGATCTCAAATGCCAAAAATATTGTCACTCATTCCTTCTTTAACATGTCTTGGATAGTTTCAAATAAAAGGTCACGGAGTTCTCCTAGTTCAAAAAACGAATGATTATCTGAAAATTTTTGTTCATCGATTGAGTTGAGATGCAGTTATCTCGAAACAGTTGTAGTTTTTTCTGATTCTTTTAGAAAACGAGAAGAAGCTGGAAATGCTGGAGCAGAACACGGCGACTCGGTGTCGTCTTCAACCGGAGTCCGGGCCCTGTTTCGCCTCCCTTCCCTCCTGGTACTTCGACGCAGTGTCGGGTGCCTGTTTCATGTTCAACTACGGTGGATGTAATGGAAACAGGAACAGATTTGACTCTAAACAGGAGTGTATGAGTGCCTGCGCTCAACACGCAATTAAAACAGACACAAGTTAGCCTACGTTTTGTAAATCTATTTTGAAATTTTTTATAAAACATGTTAGTTAAACATGCGGGAGCAAGTGTCTTGTAATCGGGAACTAGATTTTATCCCATAAACATTTTTTAATAGTCTGTAAGAAATTGAACTTGTCTAACAAATTTGAGTCTCCTTTCCAGTTTTGTGTCGTTTGAAGGCCAAAATTCATTAATTAATCATTTTTTTAATTTATAAATCAGGTCGGTTGTTGCGTAAAAATCAGTTTAAAAACATAATCGCCAATTTTTTTTATGACACCAATTTCTCATGGAGTTTTTTTCTTTTCGTCTCATTGGGTATTGGGTATCTACTCACGCATTATCCGCTTGGTGGTCGCTCAGTAAATACTGAAAGATTATGTAATGCTGGTGCTGGTGGTTGTGTTTCTCCACTGTTTTTTTTTTTCTGAAAATGAGTTTCTCATTTTTCAAAAAAAATAAATTTCGACTTACTTATTCCCGTCTCATCTTCTATTTGCTAGCTTGCAACGCTCCGCTTTGCCTCGGTGTATGAAGTTTGAATTGCTTCCAAGCAGTTTTAAACGTTCATGAACTTTTGGCTTGTTGTGTCTAGTTTATTTGAAGTTTTGGAAAATAAATGCTCACTGTTAGTTCACATATTTAGGTCAAATCATCATTGCTCTCAAATGTGGAAGCAAACATAGCGAGAAAATTGTAGCCTTATTTTGCTGATTGGTTCCAATGGTGCATACTTAATGATTCTCAGGGGGATCTTTAATTACCTTAATAGCAAATTAGAAAATATATTACTTTTCTTTCCGGCATTGATCACAGGCTATCAAATGCTTTTAAACAAGTTCTTGTTAAGAGTCTATGAACGTAATGAATACTCTCAGATATGTTGCATTCACTGAATTTTTTTCCATCAGTCAATTTCACAAACCTGAACGATTTCTTTGATTTTAAAAATCAAAAATTTACCGATTAATGTTTAATAAAGAACTTGGTTCATGACAGAAAACTCCCACGCTTTGAATTTTTTTGAGACGACTATTTGCAAACTATATATAAATATATATTTTTACAAGGATTGTCGATTGCTGTTCAAGCACAGAATGTTCGACCATATTCGTTAAAAAATACTATAAAAAAAGTGTCTTTTGTTTTCTTCAATTAGTGAGTAGCGTGATTCGAGAACTATACAAACGCGTGATAGGTTAGTGAATAAGGCAAGATCGACAACATTTTGCTTCAAAAAATGAGTAACCAACAAAAAATGGAAAAAAATCAAAATGTTTTTTTTTTTACTTTTTGTACAAAATTTTTTTTTGAAAATATTTATTGCTGAATAAGCGCTGAATAAAACATGCAAAACCGGTTTTTCTCGATAGTAAAATCAACTTCTGTGAGTCTAAAAGTTTTTAAAAAAAAATAGTAAATTTTCATATAACCATGCTCGATTGAGTTACTGGCTCGAAGCTGAACTTGAAATTAAAAATTTTATACCTGCTTTTCTCAACACGAAGAAAACTTATTCATTTTTCTTAATGTCGTTCGAATTAGGAATGATAGGGCTTTAATTTGGTATATCACACGACCCTTTCGGATAATTATTTGTGGTACCTGATTTTGCGTGGAAAACAAAAAAAAATAGAAAAAAACTAAAACACACCGGATTACAAAGGTCCTCCCCATTTTCAATGGTCGGAACAATGAACCTCTTTATCTGTCATTTGTTTCTTTTAAGATGCCTGCATGCTACTACACTACTGTTTTAAATAGGAAATTCAGGCAGTAAATATGAGACGCAGCTTACAGTTTTTTAAGCTAAAATTCATAAGGATGTGCTTCAAAACTGTTACTGTGTGCATAAGAGTCAATAAACGCTTTGAAGCCGCTTACATATGTCGCGATATTTTTTTTCGGTAGTTTTGTTTCAAGAAAAAGTCTACAACTTGTTCAGGCTCAATTTTTTTTCAGTGTTTGACTTGACTTCTTTTTAAGTTTATATTTGCTTTGTTAAAAGGAAGTCGAACTCCACTATCGAACAATTACGGTCACGAAAAACTTGATTGAATTCCTGTTTCCGAAAGTGGATTTTTTCAGACTTCCCTGCGGAGTAAAAAGTTTTTCATTTAGATCCAGTCTGCTCAAATTTGTTTCAAATCACAAAAGTATCAGGAATTAATTATTTTTTAAAAGTTGAAGAGCTGTAGGGCCATACTTTTCTCCTGAATTGCGAAACCTGAAGTTTAAAAAACAAGTCAGTGTTTTTTTCTGTTTCCTTCCTTTTGTGACTTTTTTCAACTGTCTGTCGGTCATATTTTATAAAGCCTATTTTTTGTCAAACTGATTTTTTTCAAAGCTGGAATAAGTTGTTGCCTTTTGAAACTCTACTTACTGTCTTGCCTTTATTTTGAACGTTTTGTTCTTAGTATGCTGATGCTACATTCATTACACAAGCATAGCTTGTGTTATAGTATGGACTTTCTTTTTTTCCAACCTAAGTCGCAAATATTGTTGCGATGCAATAATATGTAAACATATGTAAGCGACATATGTTTCTACAAAAATGCGTTCATTTTGAAAGTGTTCATTTTGATCCAATTGATAAGAGGGTTCAATCCTGGGTAGGGACGGGTGTTTTTAATGAAATTTTTTGTATACTAGTTAACATGCGTCCGCTCTATAAATTGAGGCATGTTAGTTGGTAAGTTTCTTTTTTTTTCAAATACACTGGTACTGCTAATGCGTCATAATTTGCTTGCGGCACTTAGTAATTTTGTAGACTCATAATTGGCGTGCGTCTTTTAAGAAATTTTGTAGGCTCAAAGTTTTACCCATTCAATTTTTCCCAGTAGCGTTATCCGTCATAATTTTGCTTGTGTATGCGTAGTAAAAAGCTGTGATGTGGATTTCAAAATAAGTTCAACAAAATGTGTTTCGAGAAAAATAGGTCAAATTGTTTTTTTTTTGCTTTTCAGATTAATTTTGAAAGTAAGCGTGGTGCGATCGATTTCGATAGTGATACGTTTAGTTTTCTAGCCTGTTTTTTTTCTACATTTCGCTTGGACGTTTTTACAAAAAGGGATTAATAGTGTTGGGGAGAGCTTAAAAAGTTAATTTGACCGGCCTAAAAAAATCAATCTGTGCTGCCTATAGAAATCAATTTGGGCGACCTAAAAAAAGGTCGAAAAAACTTTTTTGAAACGTCTCTTCTCAAAAAATTCTAGATCCGTCTCTGAATAGATACACTCAGTTTTTTCATTGTTTTAAATTTTCAAGCTCGCATTTCATTTTTTTCGGCGATGAAGATCGCCGATTCCCTAAGTAGAACCGCGTCAAAGTCAGCTCGAGTGTTTCAGGTGCAAAATCTGATTTAATATTTTCGCGTGACCCGCATCGCAGCCTAAATTAGTTATTTGTATCCGTTTTTCAAATTGTCTTGATTAGATTAAGGAAAGGTTTCTTGCTAAAGTTCGCTGAAATTGAAAAACGTTCCTTTTTTGTTTTCTTAATTTAATTTACCTTTTGAACAGCTTCTCATTAGTTTTTTAACCGTCTGTCAGACATGTTTTTGGAACTTTGTAATACCCATCAATCATTTAATCCAACTTTAAAAATTCCACAAGAGTTTCCTTCTTTTCTAATTTTGTAAATTATTTGTCTAGAAGTTTTCTCAATAGTTGAATGTTCGAGGCTGAGTTTCTCATTTTAGCTGTTTTTGACCGAGCATGTTTTTGACCGAGCATGCCTTGAAATTTCTGGGAACTTGCAGTGGGTTGTTTTCAGAACTGCTTTGGAAGTTTGACCAGTTGGTTGGTCAATAAAACGTACAGTAAGCGGACCTCTTAAGTTTATTTAGACCTGCAGTCTTTACTATTTATCCATTATTCCTTCTAAAGTCAGTCTTTGCCTGTCATTTAAACATAAACTAAAGGCTAAATATTTGGCAAAATAAAGAACAGACTTAACTATAAAGATCTGAAATGGTGGAAATTTTGAGGATAGATAGTTATATGTAGGTTAAAAGCAACACATATAAGTGAAATTACCTGGCGAATACTTGTAGCTAAATACCTTTCAACTGAGGCTATATTTGCCCGGAAATTGAAGTGATTCAGTTTTGACTGCTGAAAAGGTTTCAAACAAGGAAATTAGGCTATGGTACGTACGGAAATGGTGCGCAAAAATTCAAATAAGGATACATGAGCGGAACAAAATTCATTGCTACCATGCTACCGTGTAACTTTGTTTATTAACAGGAAGTTCCACGAAGTTTTTCCCGCCTCTCATGAACCAGATGAGAAGAAAAATATATTTTTGAGAGTTGTTTTGTGCGTTGTCATACCGGAAGTTGCGGAATCCGGACAAGTATTAGTTATCGCCCGCTCATTGCTTCCTGAGAAGGAAACAGGCAAAAAAACGGTAGGGTAAGGACCGAAAAAACTGCTGGTTGCTAATGTTCAACTGTGCATCTAATATTCGTCTTCTGAAATAATTGAAATATCAAACGTTCATTGCAAAAATTTTAAACATTTCCAGCGGAAACGGAAAAATGATCTATTAAGTTGGTTTTGTCCGTCTAAATATATTCCAAAATCCTATTGGTTCAACTGCCTTTTTGCAAGGCTTAATGATTTTTATGCTAGATTTTGACGGGGTGTTAGTTCCGCAAAAATGTCATAAGCTTCGGCTATATAGCTTTTGCGAAGCTCTAATGAGCTCTTCATTTTTTCCAGCATAGTTTCTGTATTCGATGTGATGAGTTTAGGATTTTTTTTGTTTCGTTCGAGCTACTAATTTTCTATGAAGTTTGTATCGGCTAATTTCCTTCTGTTACATCATCTTTTCGATTGCACTTCTCAACTTAATGTACTTGTGAGTTAAAACTTAACCATTTTAACAATTTATTGTGTTTTAGCAGAAGTCACAAATAGCAACTCAGATGGAAATTCGCAGGAGTTGCCTGATGAAGATGTCGAAGAAGGTGATGATGGTTCTGGAACCATCATCGAAGAGGATCTGCTACAGAAGCATACTTCGAGTGATGAGCATCCAACCGAACGAACCACAGAGCAGATTATGAACCAGTATATTGACCTGCCTTACCTCTTGGGCGGAGAGCCGAAATCCTGGTTCAAGGTCAAAATAGCCGATATTGATTTCCTGGATGAGAATTTTGTGAAGCCAGAAAGTTTGAACGAGCACGATGTTTACACAAAGGTTGGTTTCGTTCTGTAACTTGATTTTCAATAAGCAAAACAGCTCTGAATGTAAATTGTTGCATGAGCTTTCCTTGTTTGGTTATCGGGCTATGGCAAATACAATACAGTTTTATTTTATGGGTGCACAAGCGAAGCGGAAGCGTACTTTTGTCTTAAGTTACCAAGTGTCGGATAATAGCAAATATAGGCTTGTAGATTTTTTATTGTGGTTTAGGCTAGATCTTTTCTCTTTGTTCAAGCACCTATGCTTGTTCAAAACTAAAAAAATAATAAATGTTTTGTTCGTCGAAACTGATGATAACGGATTAGGAATGACTTTTGTGCTTCGCTAAGTTGTTTCAAATGCGTATAAATACAGTAAGGTTTTGTGTTTGCCTTGTGAATGCAACTATAGATTGATATGATTTATTGACAAAAGGAAACATTCAGTTTATCGAGATGAGAAGATGCCCATCAGCGCTCCGGAAAAAGGCGTATTTGTTTGGTTTCAGGTAAATTGTGATTTTTCAATGATTTATTGAAAGAAGTTGGAAATGCGATGACTTTCGCCTTTTTTCCCTTTTTTGATGATTTTTTGTGTTTGTAGGAAAATTCTTAAAATTAGTTCAAAATCAAATGTACTTTTTGCGGTTTGACTTTTGATGTCTTAATTTCAGTTCGTTTTTTTTGTTAAAAGGAAGGCAAACTCAATTATCGAACAGCAGAAGTGACCGACTTATTTACCTATTGATCCAGTTTGCTCAAGTAGGGTTTATTTTGTCGAAAATAGTTTTAAAAATTTAAAAATTAAAATTTCATATCAACATATTTCGAGACAAATAGAGACTCACGTGTAAAGATTTGAAAGATAAAGTTGATTCGACATTTTTTGCGTTTTGCCATATTTTTTTTGACTTTGAGGCTTTCCTCCCCTCTTTATTTGAATGAAACTTGTAGAAAAAAATTGCTTGATGCTATGCTTTAAAGTTCTTAATGCTCTTGTTCTTGCTGTCTACTTCGTTTTCTCAGTGAGCGAAGTAAAGACACTTGGCAGTGTGGTATTTTAATTGTTTATTTTTTCGGGGGAAACTTTTAAGCTGTTTCTGTTCATTTTTGGGGGTTTGACTTTTGTTTACGATAATATCGCTGCAATTTTTTTCAATTGGAAGTCAAAGTAAGCTCCTTAATAATGAAAGAGTATGTGACACGGAAATACGTGTTGACTTTTTGTGTTTATAAATAGGATTTTTTAGACTCACCAGCGTAATTTAAAAATGAACCTTTTCAACCAGTGTTCTCGTTTTGAGCTCGTGTTTCGAAGTTATGCCATTCATTAAATGCTTCATAATTGATCTTTCAGCTGATAAAAATAATGTTTGAAGCTCAAACGTTGAGGAATTATTTTTTAATGATGAATGGTTTCCTTGATTTATTCCCTAAGAGTCTGTTAACTATGTTTAATCTCAGGCAGCTGAAGAAAATAAGAACCAGAGAAGTTTTTCTCTAGCATCATTTTACGCAATAATCTTTCTAGAATATAGTATATTGGTTAAATTTACTGCTTTATCTGCAAATCAATCAGAAAATTATTCAACCCCCTACCGACCCAAAGGGCCCCTCCTTTTTAATATTTTGAGATATCCATTTTTGGCTGACTGACCCTAAAATTGTTCTAAAGGCGCCTTTGGCGTCAATATATACTAATTTTGAGGGGAGAGCGCGTGCCGAAAAAACACGATGTTTGGTCAAAATTTTCCAAAAGTGCCTAAAAACGTCTTTTTTGGCCTGTTTTTTCAAAATTTTGCCTGCGGCGAAGAAAATTTTCTCAAAATAGGGTCTTTATAATGATTTGTGAGAGCTCACAAAGTTAATGTGGTCGGCCTAAAAAAAGGTCGACAAAAAGAAAATCCGCGCCCTTCGAGAAAATCCTAGATCCGCCCCTAAGTGTCCCCGATGTGATTCAAAATTTCAAGGTTTGCAAAAGTGAGTCTCCTGTGTGTTAGACAGTAACAGAATTCAAGTTTTTTTAGTTGGCCTAAGGTTGATTTGCTGATATTTTTATAGTGATATCTTTTTAAAAGTATATTCAAATGCACCTTGACTAACCTAGACTCGGGGAAAGAATTGATTTCAAAAACATCCTTCATTGCCATAAAATCAATATTTTTGTTCATTATTAATGTACGTTTTCTGCTACGACTCGATATGAAATGAAAGAACGTAAATCAATGCCAACACCGTCATAAAATGCATTCCATTGTATTTTTGCTTCATGCAGAAAACTAGGACTGTTAATCGCCGAAGGCATAATTATCAACATATTAGTTCACCGACATTTTTTTTCTCGAGCCACTTATGTTTTTTGAAATTTTGTTTCACTGACTTTCTAAAGACAAATTATCGGATTTTTTTCGATTAATAAAGGTTTGAAGCGGTTATTTTGAAGATTCTAGTTAACAGTTTTTTTTTTCAGCTGACAGACTCGTCATACGACACGGCTGACTGTCTCTTCAATCTGTTTCAGACTGGAAAAAAAAAACGGACCAAAAATTTCTAAATAGATTGACATTTTTAACGGCAGCCAAAGGCATCTCTATTACAGACGCTAAAGACGTCCGACATAATTATAACACTTGTGACTATTCAAATGCTTTGGCGCCGAATTAGGTTTTAATAACGGTACTAACTAGTTCGTTAAGTAGAGCGTTGAATTGGTCGCTTTCATTTTTTTGCACAATAGGTAGTATATCGAGCTGAACTTAGCGCGATTAACTCAATCTGAAAATGTGGAAAATGGAGAAAAAATTATTGCTTGCAGAAATGCTCTCCATTTTTTTGCAAATACGAAATGAATATAGAAATAGCTAGTATTTGAACATAATAACCTAAATTATAGAGTAGACGAACAACTTTTTTGTGCTAATTAGTCATGTTTTAAAATTAGGTGAAGAATAAGTTTTGGGAAGCAAGATATTCGAGATCCTTTCTGAATTCCCAATAATGTTGGCTCTTTCTTGAAAAAAGGCATATCTTTTTGGTCAGAAAACATAACGATATAGTTTTAAAATTCTGCTCTATGACCCGATATAGAAACGCGGTGTCTGAATCGATTATAATTCACTGTTATGTTTAAATATTATTCTTTTTTGGAAAAGCTGTATGTATAAATGAATGCTAATCAATATTCTATTTGATTTGGCTGCTGGCTTTGTTTTGTTGGTAGATTAAAAAATAATGCGAATGCGTATATATGGTAAGATAACATGTAAGTGGAAAAAATTGCCGCATTGTCAAATTGAAAACCAGATGCAGTGCAATAATACATTCATCGGTTTCAAAAACGAGGTTTTAAGAGAGTTTTTAATAACCAAAGCAGAATATTGTATAGTTACTGAACGTAACAGGAAGTATTAGTTAAAGTCTCTTTTCCACCTGCCTCTAAAAGTGAATTTCATTTGAAATTTTGCCTGGTAAGCGAATGAACGATTCTTAATTTTATATCTTACTATTATAAAAATAAGCATTTAGCGATAGTTTCATGGAAGTACGGATCATTTCACTTCTCCACACATTACTAGTTGTCCAATTTCATAAAATTTTTGCTTTCTGTAGTGGCTAAATTCGAACAATATCAAATGTGTTCAGAATGGTTAATTTGTTCATCGTCAAAAATTTAATTAAAATTATGGCAATGCCAAGATTATTTTTCAAAATGAAATTAAAATAATGCGGAGGGGGGTTGAAAGGAGCCAGAAGTACTATGAAAATCCAAAATTTGTAAAGAGTGGATTGGATAAGGTTTCTATCATAATGAGAGTCGAAATTTCTGATTGAGGGTTGAGCGATATGCTTCCAAAGCCTACCGTGTGGCCATGAGTTAAGTAGATTTCTGAATAAGACCTTTAAGTCATGATTCCATCGATATAAAATATTTCTAAAAAGATGTCTGTGTCGAGAAAAACTGGTTTGAAATTTTTGTTTTATAATCGAAGTGTCAAGTCACCTTTCCTTTTGGTTCATTTTAAGTTAATTGTGCAAAATTTTTATAATTATACGCTGATAAAGCCACGATAGTTTTTCAAAACTGAAAAAACTTATTTTTTTTTCGGTTTTTTGCCAAATAAACATTTTATGCCACATACACAGCAATCGTCAATTCTTGTTATATGCAATTGTTTAATGTTTTTTGTAACTGTAATCTTCAATTATCAGAAATTTGAAGCTTTTTTAGTCGTATTTCGAACTGCAAAAATTTCCATAAATTTTTTTAATGGATAATAAGGGATCGGCGTGTAGGCTTGTTAGACTAGTGTAAAACGTATGTCTATCAGTCGTTGATAAACATAAATTGGCGGTATTTTTAAGAGTTGATGAGCGTAGTTCAGACTCTTATATGGGTCACGGTGATTTTTTCTTTCTTTTTTTTCAGGAAAAGTCTTAAATGTTGTTCAGGCTCATAAATACTTTTTTGTTATTTTTCTTCTGATTCCTTTTCAAGTTCAATTTATTTCCTTTGTTAAAAGGAAAGAAAACTCCACTTTAAATCAGTGAAAGTGTAAAGGTCGCGAAAAACGTGATCAACTTCTAGTTTAGATAGTGGAATTTAATTATCGAATTTCCCAGCGAAATAAAAGTTTTACCTATTAATCCAGTTTTCTCCATTTGGGTTAAATTTATCGAAAATTGGTCAATCGTTATTGATAGTTTTATAAGTTTTCATAAATTTAAGGCCATCTATTTAGAATTAATGAAATGAAAACTTTCAAAAAAATAAGTCCGTTCTTTTTTTTGAAATGTTTATTAAGAGTGTGAACGCTAGTGTAAAACTTATGTCTATCAGTGGTTGAAAAACATAAATTGGCGGTATTTTTAAGAGTTGATGAGCGTAGTTCAGACTCTTATATGGTTCACGGTGATTTTTTCTTCTTTTTTTTCAGGAAAAGTCTTAAATGTTGTTCAGGCTCATAATTACCTTTTCGTTATTTTTCTTCTGATTCCTTTTCAAGTTCAATTTATTTCCTTTGTTAAAAGGAAAGAAAACTCCACTTTAAATCAGTGAAAGTGTAAAGGTCGCGAAAAACGTGATCAACTTCTAGTTTAGATAGTGGAACTTAATTATCGAATTTCCCAGCGAAATAAAAGTTTTACCTATTAATCCAGTTTTCTCCATTTGGGTTGAGTTTATCGAAAATTGGTCAATCATTATTGATAGTTTCATAAGTTTTCATAAATTTAGGGCCATCTATTTTGAATTAATAAAATCAAAATTTTCAAAAAAATTAGTCCGTTCATTTTTTTGGTTTGTTTATTAAGAGTGTGAACGCTGTTCAGACTCTTATTTAGATCGCGATCACTTTTTTTTTCAGGAAAAATTTTAAAACACTCTAGTAACTACCGGAGTGCATTCAAATATTTTCTTGCACATTTGAATGCTTTTTGATTTTTTATGTACTTTTTGAGTTCAATTGAAATTCATCTGCTACAGGGCAGCCAAATTGCGATGTCCAAATACCAAAGAGAAAATGGCGCGAAAAAACTTCTAGTTTCGAAAATGGACTTGAATTTTCAGATTTCCCCGCGAAAGCAAAAATACTCATTGATCCATTTGTCTCAGCTTGGGTAAACTTTATCAAAAAATAGTCAATTGCTATTTTTTCTTGAAATTCGAATTGCTTCGAAAGTTTTGATTTTTTTCAAAAACAGGTAGTTTTTTTTCTGTTTATTTGCGTTCATTAGCTCTTTTCCAACTGTCTGTTGACTAGGTTTCTACTGAACGAACAAGTTTCTACTGAACGAACTAGTTTTAATTTTTTGGTAGATTTGTTTTTCACACTTTCAATTTGTTTGATCAATTTGACTTTTAAATCATATTTAGGCTCACTTTTAAATCATATTTAGGCTCTTCTTAGTTCATTACTACCCAAAAGCAGGCTGAAAATTTTTTTGAAAAAGAACATTTTATCTTTTCAATTTTTTTTAAATTTAATTTTTATTAATCACCGTAGTATTAATTAGAATATACACAACAAGCTGCCTTTTAGGTGTTTTCTGTAGTCTAAATTATTTTTGTTTCTGAGTCTTTATCTGAACATCATCAAATTGCATCGTTTTGAAACAAATTTAGTTTATAGAAGAACTAAATTTTTAATTCTTAGGTGTGAAGAACATCGATAGAAGACATTTTGCTGTAATTGTTAAGTCTTAAAGTTTAATTATTTCTTTCCTCATTGTTAGGTTGTTTTTCATCAGAAACGATGAAGCAGAAAATTGACAATACAAAAATTGTTTGAAAACGATGCAATGAGTAAGTCTGATAAAAAATAGCCCTTGAAATATAGTTCAGTACTACTCGAAACTCCACTCTAGAAATGTGTCCCAACAGAAGTTAGAAACAGAAAAAAAAACTTTTTAATTTCTGCAATTCTCCAGCTTAAATTTTGAAAAGATAGTCTGGATTAGCTTCAATTCCCTTCTAATTTTGAGTGCAATATCTTATTTGAGCTGATCGATTCTATTATATCGAACTAGTGAACTTTTGGGTGCTTTCTTTCTTCTTAATTCAAGTCTAAATTTTTGGTCGCCTTATTCCAACTAATCTAATCTCAATCCCCTGTCTCCTACATGTGAAATATTTGCCTTTTAAGTGCATTAAGGCGCCCCTGGCTTTTCCTTCCTACCAATTTTTTGTCTTCCTTCCTTTTTTCCCGCGTTGTTAGAACAATTTTCCCCAAATTCATGTTTCCGATAGTTTTTTTAATGAATTTTCATTTTTCAATTTGAATTTGTATTGAAAGAAAAAATTGAAATGCCGTTTTTTTGGAAAGCGGCTGAGAGGGGGTGGCGTTATATATTAGTCAATGATAAATGACCTAATGGTTCTTCGGCTAGTTGACTTTCAATTTCCTACCTTGTTTCAAGTTGCATTTTTCGCCTGTCACTTCGTGTTTGGTTGCTGATGATGAGTTATTGATGGGCTTATGAGCAAATATTTGGACAGAATTTAGTTGCTGTTTATAAGGATGCGGCCTGTCAGTTTTTGTGGTGGTGCGATAATGAAGGGTTTTTAATGACTTTTTTCGACATGGGAATTAATTCTGAAAATGAGGCTTTGAGTATAAATCAAAGGCATCAGTTTTGCTTTGTGTTACTTGATTTGACCTTTTCTGATTAAAAAACTGTCAGTGTTCAATGAACTGAATTAAAAATTAGGTACATAAGTTGGGCCTGCAGACATGAATTCTAATGTTCCAAATGGTAATGAAATTGATATAAATCGGCACTCTTGAACCATAGCAAATCCTACCACTGTTTGATCGTCATTTATCTTGAATATATTTTATACAAATAAAGCAGGGAGTTTGTTGTAGTTTTTAGTTGTAGTGGTGTATGGATAAATAAACTTTACACCAACCCCTAAAGGGGAAGGAATTTTGGCAATGGGTGTTTTTTTTTTCGCCCACCATCAGACACTTCAAAGAAAACTCGTAGGAAAACAAGTGTAGTATCAAAGTTTAGTCCTAGTGACCGTGATTCTGATTTCAATAAATTGCGATGAAGCCTTTCAGTGTCGTAATAATTAATCCTGGTTCTTTTTTTCATTTTTTTCTGATTGGAAATTGCTACTGAAAATCTAATTATTCGGGATTTTTTTTTCATTATTTTAGCTATTATGATTCTATTATTATTTTAACGCTCATTAACCAATTCAGTCCGCTATCACTACGTCAAATATACACAACGAAAAATTCTCTGGTTCAATCCGCGGTGTTGACAAAATTTTTGAAATTTTGCAATGGGATGAAGGCATAATTAGTTTTCGGGCACAATTATGTTTTTTGTCTCGATAGTTAATCACCTGAGAGTAACAACAAAATTCTATCACTGGGCAAAAAGCTACTACCATCAAAAATGATATTAATAATGACGATGAAAAGGATGGTTATCACGGTGATGAAATGATTGTATACAATGATGGTGATGTGATGATGATGATGATGATGATGTTGATTTCAGGCACTGGTGCAACTGGAGGACTCTTACGAATCTGAGATGACTGGACTGATGCATGACTACGAGAGTGCAGAGAGAAGTTTTATCCAGGCACTTCAGTCCACCCACTCCAACGCACAGCTCACTGACGCCTTCCAGAAACAAATTGTGCAGGTATGAATTGTGAACATCGTGATGTTATGGTAATTGTTCCGATAATTTGAATTTTGTATTCGGGGGTAATACTATGTCATAAAAAACACTCGGCATTACAAAAGTGTCTTCTAAGCATGTACAAAAAACCAAAATCAAACCGCAAAAAAATAATCAAATTTGAGCGTTCACAAATTTTGAAACTTTTTGCTGAACAAAAAAAAACACGGTCTCACATAAAGGTCTTCATTTCGTCCATTGACTTAAAAAAATCAAAAATCTTTGGCTCTTTCCTTTTACACATAAACACAGTTTCTATAATGTAACGAGTGGATTTCTAAGGTTAAGTATGGAGACCATATATGTGTTCAAAATTTTAAGAAGGATTTGGAGTGTAAAATCACAGCACTCAAATTGATTTTAACTGGATTATCAATGCCTAATCTCATCATCACTTTTTGATAAATGCGCCTATCCAAATTTGGTTAGGGAGTTATCCGGGGGTTATGCTCCTATCCGGGGGTTATAGTATGACAACGGTTTTCCTATTTACAAAGTTTTTACATTTGCGAGAGCAAGTGTCTTGTAATAAACTTCTAACTTCTTTTTTTTAATTTGAATAAAACGCCATTGAAAGATACATGTGTAAATTTTGAAAGTGAAAAAATTAAAAGAACACAACTTTAATCAGTTTTTGACGTTTAAATGTGTGTAAGTCTTTCCTTATGTCGGAATTATTCAAAATTTACACCAATTTTGTGTCGATAAACCAGAAAAGTGGGTTTATAATTCTGTGCAAATTAGGCCAGTTTAGCCACTGGGTACTTTTATTTTCTAACTAAATTGAGAAAACCTGATTTTCACGACATTTTGACGTTTTACGACCTCTGGCTTCTGTGTGGTAGTCATTTTTACATTTTAGCCAAAACATGTTTAGATTTAAGTTAGGCGCCTTTTACCTAAGAGAAAAAATTGAAAGTGAGATATATAAACAGAAAATGTTGAATTTTTTCATTAGTCTATGATTTTGACAGATTTCTTATGAAGAAATGAAATATTAAGAAATGACAAATAGTAAATGTTTTGGAGACTAATTTGAATTGATTTATATTGTCTTTGCTCATTATTTTTCAAAAGGAAAAACTTGGTTATTGTGGTAAAATTTCCTCGACAATTTTTTTTGCCTTTTTTCATGTTGAGATCTTATGCGTGATTCATAATCCCACTTGTGTTTAATTTGCGAAATGAGAATGGAGTCATTTGTCGGTAATCTTTTGATCCTCGTAACAGTCTTGTTTGGTATGAGATTGAGATAAAATCAGGGAGGCTTTTGTTACCATTTATCCAGGCAGGTTTTGTGACAGTGTTGTATTATCTGGGGGTATACGAACAACAGAAGGATCAATTAGCCGAGGTACAATTGTCCTGCTGCTGCGAAATATATTTTTACATGCAGAAAAGTTTGATCGAAATCATTCTCTAATTTTGGTCAAGAAATAAATTTTTTGGTCAAGAAACTCACATTTATTCAAATTATAGGGCCACAGGGATAATGAAATGGTTACTCAAAACAGATTTGTGATAGTTTGTCGAAATTAGGTCTTAATGGGCGAAGCTCATTATAAAAAGAGAAAAAGTTGAATTTTTGCTTTAAACTTTGATCATAACTTTTTGCTTGAAACTTTGAGCTGTTTTTTGTCCAAGTTATTGAACCTATGTTTTGATTAAACTAATTCTTATCTATTAAATGAGAACCTGACTTCAAACATATCGTCTACTTGAACAGCTACTGGTATCTTGGTCGGATTTGATTCGCTAATTGGCAGAAGGTAGGGGTTATCTGAAAATGAGGGACCACCAACGTGATAAAAATGACAAAATTTGGCAAAAGAAGCTTTTTCGTTTCGGGGAATTAGGTTGACATGCGAATTAAAGCATTTTCATGACAAAATGCGACTTTTTATGCTTTAGGCATGTTTTAAGGTTTGACCTTAAAAACTTCTTTATGATTCACAAAAAATTCTACTCTCTCAACGTATATCTGACTCGAACTCGAAATAATTTGAATCGCTTATTTTCATGCGCTTTATATTTTAAAAGCTAAGTACTTCTAAAAGCTTTTAAAGGTATGTTGACTCAATTTTTATCAATCGTCCCGAAAATTTTTTTTCTTTGTTTTAATCATTTTCAAAGCTTGATCGCTCTCTGACAGATGGCGTTTTAACCAACCTCACAGGTCTTGATTTATAATCAGCACTTTAGTACTATTTATAACAAGCAGCTTGTCGGTCGATTAAACCAGCGCCAGGTATATTTAATGATTGACAAAGTAAAAAGCTGACGCCAAGCTGCAAAAACTGAAAAAGAATTTGCGTACCTTTTTTCTTTGGCTGACTGGTCATTAAAATTTTGCTCCGCAGGTAATTGTAACTTGTGATGTTAAATTACAAGTTTGCTGGAGTGCTACTTCAGAAAAGATCATCATGGTGTGAATTAAGAAGCTGTGAAATTCTCTGTGACTATTTGCTACTTTTTTAAACTAAATTTGCTAGATCTAAAAATTTTTAAACTAAAATTCCATGCCCAGAGAAATCAGATTTTCTAAATACACCAATGACGCTGAGATTGAACCAAATTTGAATAGGGGAATTTTTCAAAAAGTGATGATGACATTAGGCATTGATAATCCAGTTACAATCAATTCGAGTACTGATATTACACTCCAAATCTAAAAAATTTTGAACATAAATGGTCTGCATACTTAACCTTATAAGTCCACTCGTTACAACATAGAAACTGTGTATATGGAGGAAATGGAGACACTTTTGTAAGGCCGAGTGTTTTTATGTTCAGCAAAAAGTTTCAAAGTTTGTTAACGCTCAAATTTGTTTTTTTTTTGCGGTTTGATTTTGATTTTTCGTACATGCTTAAAAGACACTTATGTAAGGCCGAGTGTTTTTTGTTCACCAAAAAGTTTTAAAATTTGTTAACGCTCAAATTTGATTTTTTTTGCGGTTTGATTTTGATTTTTCGTACAGACTTAAAAGACACTTATGTAAGGCCGAGTATTTTTTGTTCAGCAATAAGTTTGAAAATTTGTTAACGCTCAAATTTGATTTTTTTTGCGGTTTGATTTTGATTTTTCGTACAGACTTAAAAGACACTTATGTAAGGCCGAGTATTTTTGTTCAGCAATAAGTTTTAAATTTTGTTAAAGCTCAAATTTGATTTTTTGTGCGGTTTGATTTTGATTTTTCGTACATGCTTAAAAGACACTTATGTAAGGCCGAGTGTTTTTTGTTCAGCAAAAAGTTTTAAAATTTGTTAACGCTCAAATTTGATTTTTTTTTTGCGGTTTGATTTTGATTTTTCGTACATGCTTAAAAGACACTTATGTAAGGCCGAGTGTTTTTTTTTGTTCAGCAAAAAGTTTTAAAATTTGTTAACGCTCAAATTAGATTTTTTTGCGGTTTGATTTTGATTTTTTGTACCTGCTTAAAAGACCTTTATGTAAGGCCGAGTGTTTTTTGTTCAGCAAAAAAATTTGAAATTTGTTCACGCTCAATTTTGATTTTTTGCGGTTTGATTATGATTTTTGTACAGGCTTAGAAATTCCGCACTCCGTTCATGAAAATGCCAATAGAGCTAAAAACACGTGAATGGATTTAAGTTTCGAGCGTGAAATATGATTTGTAGATTTGCCACCGGAATAAACAATTCCCTCAAATTTCAAATGCGACTCATTTTTCTCTCATTGGTTAGTTTTGTGAGATCATTTAAGATCCTTTTCAAAGAGCCTTAAGGTGATTTATTCTTTCTCCAAATTTTGAAACTGAAAAAATCATTTTTTCAGTGTTCTTGAGTTCATTGACACTTTTCCAAGTTTCAGTTGGCGATGTTAGTAACTGGGCTTCAATTAGAATTTTGCGAAATAACATTGCATTACGATGGAATTCGGCTTAGCCTCCTGGAAAAAAAAATAGAAAAAATTATTTAAGTAGATCAGTTAATCGATGCATCACACTATTAAACAAAAATGGGAGGATCAACTCATTAAACCGGAAATGACTATTAACTGGGTCATTAACTACAGATTGACCAGTTTCGGCTGCAATAGTGGTGCGAAACAAAAGTTCAACTAGTAAAAAAGTTGCAACAAAATAACTCAGTCTGGAATGTGCGGAAATAATGCACATAGACTATCCCCAGACAGAAACGCAAATTATTTTTTATTATCAACAAAAGAAATAATGCACATAAACTCCCCAGAGAGAAACGCAAATTATTTTTTTATAATCAACAAAATTTACGATGCACAGGAACAAAATTTTTAATTTACATAATTAAGACGCCGATTTGTGCCATCTTTCTTCCACTAAACTAAAATTTGAATATGAAAAAGCTCTTGCTGTTAGCATGCTTGTTAAAATTATTACACTTTTTTTTATAATTGGATTGCGAAAAAATGTTCGTATTTCGGTTCAATGATCCGTATATTTGATGTCATTCAGGTTTCTGAACGCATCACTTCATTGACGAATACACGTAGTTTGTATAAAACTTGGTGTTGATGCTGACTTTGTTTGTTGTAGCTGTACGAAGAAGCGACTAAAGACCTGGAGAAGCAGTACAGGGAAGCGAAGGCGAAGATCACACAGAAGCACAGAGATAGAGTGGCGAGCGGGAAGAGGGATAAGATGGACTTGGCTCTGAAGAGGGTGAAGGCGTTGATTGACACTGCAGATAGCAACAGTGCAGCTAAGGTCGGTCAGGTTAAAGATATTGATAAAGTGTCATTATAATTGGGCTTTTTGTCTTCAACTATGAAATTGCATATAAGTGAGTTTGTCTACCTGATATCTTTAGTTATTGTAAACATTAAAAACAAGGGTAAGATAGATGCAAAATTTTTGAAAGCAATCCCAGAAAGTTCTGTACAGCTTGGGTTGACCCCCGGGCCTTGTCCGAATAGGAAAGTTTCTGTCAGGGCGGATCTAGGATTTTCTCGGGGGGGGGGGGGGGCGGATTTTCAAAAACTTTTGGAAAAATTTGACGACTTTTTTTTTAGGTCTCGACTAAATTGATTTTCCCAGCTCTACTTAAGCACTAAAAAGACGGTGTGGGCACTTTTTGGAAAATTTTGACAAAAGAATCGCTTTTTTTGGCGCGCGCTCTCCCCTCAAAATTAGTATATATTGGCGCCGAAGGCGCCTTTAGAAATATTTTAGGGTCGGTCGGCCAAAAATGGATTTCTTAAAAAGTACCAAAGTCCGCCCCCTCCCTAAATCCGCCCATGGTTTTTAAAAATGCAAGTCATTGTATCTGGTTAGTCTTCGGTACGCCTTGTTTATACGACGTACCATATCGTATTTTCCTACACTAAAAAGAGCCATAACTTCGTTAACGGAGTGCTAGAAAGAAAGAAAAAACAATTTGTTTCTCCATAATAGTTTAAGTACAGATACAACAGTAATTTTTAAGTATTTTAGGAAACTCAAATTAGTTGTACAAAATAAAAATGGAGTGGATAGACTAAAGGTACAATACGCACCTATCGAGAGTCTACCCGAGCACAACTTGGTGACAAATTTAAATAAAATAAGAGAAAAAAAAAACGAAAAAAAAAAATTACTTGTAAAAATAATTATACCAAATTAATTCACAAAAGAGCCAAATACTGTTTAGTTTTCTCTGATTTTGCCCGATTACAATCCCATATAATTTAACATCAGTTTTAAGGAAATAAAAAAAGGATTTTTTTTTTTCAAAAAAAAATTCCGAAAAAAATTGAAAGAGAACGATATCTCGAAAACTAGAAGGATTTGGAGATTCAGTTTTTCGGACAAGAATCGCAACTCTGAAATGGTGTTTTGATAGCTTTTAGCCAAAGTGTTCAAAAAATATATATATAGTAGATGAAAGGTTAATTAAAAATATGGAATGTACTAAATCATTATTTCCAAGTATAAAATTATTTTTGAATTTGTGAACGAAATTTGTTTCTTCATTTTTGGTCATTTCACCAATTTTTCCAGGTAACAGATTGCTATTGCTCAATTTATTCAGCAATTTTGTTTTATATTCAGCAACTCCATTTCTTCCACAGTTTCTTGTATCACATTTTAAGTGTGATATAAGGGGAAGCTGCTGCTTGCCGTACAAATAATTCGGACCAGCCATGACTATTAGGGGTTGCTCACCACTATCAAGCACGTCTTTAACCACTTGATCAGACCATATAGTAGAATTTTGCCCTGTAGATTGATAGTACGTTCTACAGAAACATCAAACTTAAGGATGAACTCAGAATATAATCATGCCATGGCTTCGAGTTGACTCAGTTTTTCGTAATTAAACATCTTTTCGGTGACTTTTTGCAACAACTTTGTCGATGTTTTCTCTAAATCTTCTGAAAAATACTAAATCTTCTGAAAAATTTTAAGATTTCTCATTTTAAGCATTTGAACATCGAAGCGTAGTCACATAAGTAATACTAGGGCGGAGACTACTACCAATGAAATATGTTTTTATATTTTGTTTTCAAATAGCACCCTTATTGCCGTGAATTTGTCATTGATTTAGTTCCAAATCATTCGATCGCTTTTTACACTTGCGATCAGCTTAGTGTGTTATTACGAATCTTCTTTTTTTCTACTCTAACTCTCAAATAAAAGTGTTCATTAAAAGTGTCCACTTATTTGGAAATTTCACTGTAGCATTGGAACTTGCATACCATCTGTTCTCTCCTTTATTTGTAACTGAGTAGTTAATAGTACCTATTAAGCGTCAGTGGCTTAGTGGTTAGTGTGAGATTCTTTATATTTAGGTCGCTGGTTCGAGTGTCAGAGGTGGACGATTTTTTGCCGATTCGAGGATTATATTTAATGTTTATTATTGCATTTGTAGAGCAATTTTTGTCGTGTTCTCACAAGTGTTTGCGAAGCGGAGCTTCGCCTCGTTGTTAAAATTAGTCAAAACTAAGGAAATTCTTTTCATTGATGTTTTCCACCAAATCTAATTTAACACATGTTGATTTGGCAACAATTGAGCAATCATAAATTGAAGTTAGAATAACAAATTCGGATTTTTTGTTAACTATTTAAGTCTATATTTATACGTTTTGATTATGTATTTATGGTACTGTTGCTTCTTCAAAAGGCTAATTGCGTGATAAGTGTAGAAATCCGTGTTATCTTTGTTGGATGCGAAAAAAAAAGAAAATACCAATAATTGAGATTTTGCTCGGATATCAAAGATTTTTCTGAATTTTCCGCTCAGTTTTTTTGGGTTTAAGTGTTAATGAACGAAGTGTTCACATGTCGTCGTTGTGATATTTTGTACTGTTTTTTTTTCAGGAAGTAACAAAAAGTCGCTCTCAAAAATCCAAAAGTTAGAATTTTGGTTTCTTTTTTCTTGACTTGAAATTTGAGAAATTTGAAAATTGAAATTTGCTTTCATTTAAATAACAAGTGCGAAAAAGCGCCTGGCTTTTGTGTCATTAGTTATCAGTTTTTAAATTTTTGGCGAATTAAAAGTAATTGAAAGTTCTAGTTTTTTCAAAGAAGTATCACCCATTTGAGATCTTGAAAAATCCAAAGAGTTGATTCTTTGTTGCTGTCTGTTTTCTTGTTTTTTTTTCGACTTTCAATTTCTTTATTGCCAAATGCTTTTTGCCTTTCTCTGAGGTAGAATTTTTCTTCTTGTTCTGAATGCTTCAAACTTTGTTTTGTTTGGTTAGGAGAGTTCCATTAGGCTTGCGTTACTATGTATTCGCGTTATCACATAATTTCAAATACAGCAAAAGTTTTTACAGAGAAGTATACGGACTCACTTTCGCGACAATCAACCCGCTTACTTGAAGAGAATAAAAACACTGCAACTTCAAAACGTTCAATCGGTTAGGGTTAATATTTACAGTTTCCAGTGATTTTAATGGTGTACAATTACTTTGCAAGTAGCACACAATATTCCGACTACAGTTCTTTAAGAAAATGATAGAAATGTTAAGCTTTTGAAAAAATGATAGAAAGTATGGACCTATAATTTTAGAAATATTTTTGAAATAATATAATTAACCGTTCAAACGTTCTGAAAAAAATATAAAGTCCAATTCAACTTGAAGCTCACTTCTATTACCACTCTTTGAGTGGTTGGTCTTAAACACGAAAATATTCAGACCACAGCACTTAAGCATGATGCAATGCTCAATCCTCTACGAATAAATGGCTCTTTTCGAGTTTACCACCCCCCTCGTAAAATTTCAAAATAAAGTTGTTCAAAAATTGTTCACACGGAATTTTGCATGAAAGAAATGTTGTGAAAATTTGTTCACGCTGACACGTTTTGTTGCAGTTTATAACCTGAAAAGTCATTTTAAATTTAAAAGTTTTCATATATTAAATTTCCGAAAAAATCAAAGGGGGGAACTGGAAAAGAGCCGAATAAATAACAGGTATTCTGATGAATTTTATTAGATTCATGAACGTAGTGAATACTCTTATGCGGCAATTGGTGATTTTTTGTTCGTTTGTTTTTCAGCAAAAGTCATTAAAATTTGTTCACGTTCAATTTTGATTTTCGCGGTTTGACTTGTGATTTTTTTTAAGTTCTCTTCACTTTCTTTGTTGAAAGGAAGGCAAACTCCGCTATCGAACTTCAAAAGTGTTAAGGTCAGGAAAAACGTGATTGACTTCTACTTTCGAAAGTGGGTATCAATTTTCAGATTTCCCAGAGGAATGAAAACTTAGCTTTTAATCCAGTTGTCCCAAATTGGGTTTATTTTATCAAAAAAGTGTCGATTACAAATTGATCTTGAAACTCAAAGAACTCTAGTGTCATATATATATTTTTTTTGTAAATTTTATCAAGATGCCAAACCATGGGAGCTTTTTCTGTTCGCGGTTTTTCGAGACCTTGACGTTTGTTTTTCTTCGTCGCTTGATTTTTAGATTGGTTTATGTGGATGAGAAAATGCATTCTTGCCCATTCCCCTTAAAATTAGTTGCATTTTAGGTATAATTCATTCATTTAATCTGAGTAGAAATCGGTCTTTTCTCTTTTTGAAATTCAATCCGGCTAAAAATAGATGTAAGTTTTTCTTATTACTATATGAATAGAGAAAACATTGTGTATAGAAATCGAGACTTCTTATTTAAGATGAACCCTGATATTCATTAGACATGCTTTTAAATTATCCTTTGATACCATATATAGTTCCATTTCTTTTCAGAGCCACAGCTATTTTATCTGTTAAGGTTCTAATGCACCCAGCTATTGTTGAACCTAGCTAAAAGGAGTGTTAGAATTTCACAAATGATAATGGACTGCTTTTTAAAGCTCACTCAGTGCGTATTAGCAGACCATGTTCCACGGAAGAATCGTTGCAATTACTAATTAATATTTTAAAAATGCTTTTATTCTTTTTGATAATGTAATTATCCCGCTTTCAACTAGTAGATCTTTTTCTAAATGAGGTATTTTGTTGCCGAAAAAAAATTAACACGATTTAAGTTTTCTTTTGTTGATTTATTCTTACAAAGCGCACATTTATGCCCTAGGAAACGTTCTGCACTAAGACATGTCTGCTCAGTGCATGGTATCTATTCTTTCCAGACCCTAGGGGGTCCTCTTGTCTTTCCCTTGGGCACGCCATCTTATTGGGTCACTATTAAACAGAGTGAATCACAGTCGCGAAGGCGGAAAAGATGAAAAAAGAATATTTTAAAATCTGTGCTGCCGAAAGTCTGTTGGCGCAGACAGGATTGAATGCCCGAAGTTAAAATGGTTAATTTAATTTGAAGTGGAAATTTAATTTAAAGCTGGGGTTAGTCATTGGTTTTGACTCTCACTTTTTTCTAATCTGTCTATCCCAAGTAAATGAATTTTTTGTGAAGAGTAAAACTGAATGAGACAATATCAGTTGAACTTAGTTTTAAACCCAAAAATGTCATTGAAAAATCAATCGCTTCTCATAATACCAAAAATCTATATTATGAGTTGCTGTGATTTTGTGATTTGTTGCTGTGGTTTTGGAGAACGGTATTAGAACAATATTTGCTTCATCAAGTTTGAAACATTTGGTATGATCCTTTTGATAATCAACTTAGGAAGTCATTACATAATAATAATAATAAAGTTAAATTCATTTTCAAGAAGGGAGGGAATTGAAAAAAAAGTGATGAAAAAAGTCCATCTCGTAAGAATACGAAAAAAGCTAGTTAACTACCTATCGAGTGGCGTTTTCATATAAGTTAAGCATTGATCAGGCACTTGGTGAAATTGAGGGTGTTAATTGGCTTTTGAGGGCAGTGGGGGATATGAAGTGTTGACAAAATTGGGAGTCTTTTATCATGCTAATTAGCTGTTCGCTCCTTTTTAGACCGGGATAATTGACACAAAGCGGAGGTTCTGATCACAGCATTGTATGGCTCTTTTCGATGCCATAATGGAAAGGTTTTGTTTATTTAAAAAACATGTATAGGTAAATAAAAGAAATTCGGTTGAAGAGACAAACAAGACTGCTTGTATCAGGGCAAAGCCCTGAATGTTCCGACTGCCTTTCAAGGTCTATGGAGCAGCAATAACATGAAAAATTCAATTGTGATTTAAATTTTTTTTTTTAAATTTTAGAATTTTTTGTGAAAACATCCTCCCACACGCCATATTAAGTACAAAGTGATAGATTTTGCTCCGATTGACAAATCAACTACGACATATAAGCTTCCTTGAACCTATTTGGAACGATTTCTAAGACGGATTAAATCTCGCTTACGCGTTGATACCGCGAAAGATATCGCGCGTTAATTGTCCCAAATTGGCCGAAATTGCTATCTTTAAACCCCGATAACTTTACGAAAAATGATCACAGAGGAAATATCTTTTTAAATTTAAGCTCAGGACAACAATAGCTTTCGAACGATAAAAAAAATTCCGTCAAAAATGGCTAGTTAAAAAGTCGAAATTTGTCTGAAAAAAAAACCCACCCCGAGCACAAATATTCCGTTATTTTCGTAGCGAAAGTCGGAACAACAAGAATGATTGCAGCAGGGCAAAACCTTGAGTTTTTTGACTGCTTCTTAAATTCAATTGGGTAGTTTTTCTCTCAAAAAAGGAAAAAAAACACACCAGCTATGAAAATTTTAAAGTGATATATGTCACATATAGCAAGGTATTACGAGAAAAACAACAGCTTTTGGCTGATATAAAAAAATCCGTCAAAGTTTTCTAGTTAAAATGTCGAAATTTATCTGGAGAAAAAACCCTAGCACAATATCGGAACTAAAATATTACCGCTTTGAGTTGCTTTACATTTTAAAAACACCCGAGCACAAGATGCACAACACGCGAGCACAGTATCGGGAACAAATATTACCGCTTTAAGTTACTTTAGATTTTTTCCAAAATTTAAAAGAAGCTTCAACTTTCAATTCTGTTACTTTATGCAGAAAAACAGGAATAATCGAAAATAAGCTCAAAATTTGAAACTAACTACGTCAAGAAAAACGAGAACTATCGAAAATAATCTCCGTAATTCAATACTGTTACTTCATGCAGAAAAACGGTTATTATCAAAATTTTTAATGATAAGGTAGCTGCTGTCAATGAGATCATGGAAAGTCAAGAAATGGCGATTTTTAGATAAAATAGAAAAATTCATTGAGATAAATTTAAGAACTGATGTGTTATTCTCTTGGCCACGGATAACAGAAAGATTTTGTGAAGCAAAATGCGAAAATACTGTCTTTAAAAAGTTTTCAAATATAACAAGCTTTAATAAGTATTTTTAAGATTAATTAACGTAATGAAGACTCTTTTATAGGTCTTGGTGATTTTTTTTTTTATCATGAAAAGTCTTAAAAGTCTGTAATAACTACAGATGTGCATTCATACATATTGATGCATTTATGAATGAACTTAGATATTTACCTATTGATCAAGTTTTCTCTAGTTGGGTTCATGCTATCAAAAAAGCGCCAATCATAAATTGTTCTAGACATAGAATTTAATGGGCATCTATTTTTTCTTAGAAATTGAGAAAGTTGATATTTTTTCAAGAAAGTCAGTTTTTCTATGTTCAATTGCGTTCATTACTCTTTTGCAATCTTCGATTGGCTATGTTTTTAGTGACCCAGAGGCAAAGATGTTCAATTCAAAAAATACAAATGGTAGTAAAATATAAAATTGTTCAAAAAGTTATGAAAACTATTTAAGTTTCTTCAGCAATTTAAATTTTTCTGAAATCTGTGTTTTGCGTCGCCCACCCCCCTAAATCCGCTACTGCTGTTGATTAGGTTTGACCAATTTGTGCTAGTGCTAGATTGTGAATACATTTTTTTGCTGTGAACTTACAATTTTGCTTTAAGATAGTAAGATTGTTGATTAAAAATTTCTGTAAACCTCGTTTAGATATATTTGGCATTTCTAGCTCTAAGACTATTTGACAAGTTGTTCCAATATTTTTAGGAGATTTACCAGTTTTTTCTCAAAGAATGTGTGGTGAGCTTTTGGGCTTCGTTTTCTTGCTGACAACAATCGGTGTTGATTAATTCTTTAAAGTAACCGTTCCATCTTTCAAGGCATATAGTGACAAGAGTGATATAAAAAATGTAATAAAAATTTTGTTCTACATAATTAGACAAGGTAGACTTGAAATTCTTTTTGCAATATGCAAATTTCTCAGACCAATATTAAATTTCGGATGTTTTGCACTTTAGATAAGTCATTTTTGAAGTCCAATCCACGGAGGATCAGACTATTCATCATGAAATCTCGAAACTCAAGAATCATATTTCTGAAGACTTTTCTGGAGCTGTTTCTTGGGCGAAAAATAACAATTCGAAGTTGCCCTTCAGATTTTAAGGAGGAAACTGACGCGTTTAATTTGTCCATGGTTTTGAATTTATCAATCCTGTAATAAAGTCGTTTTGATTCCATTGACAGAATTTCTGTCTTGTCTTGGTTTATTTTTTTTTCTGGAGTTGAATGAAGGTTTTCAAGTATCCTATCAAAATATAAAAAGACCAAAAATTTCATAAATTTTCCAATTTTTAATGTTTCAATACGCAGTTCTGATGAGCTAAAACATCAGTCTCTTATTTAGTTCTTCTGCGACAAGTGATTTGTCTCTGCTTTTTTATAATTAATTTAAACAAAATGCTTCTGTAAATAAATTTCTTGTTTTAGGAGACGGCCTTGATGTCGGCGCTGACGAAGTACCTGGACCTGAGTCAAGACCTCATGCAACACTACCAGACCCACTTCTCCAGGGTGGCTCATTTGAGTTACACCAGGGCACAAGTGGAACACGGCAGGACGCTGGACAGTGTCTACGCAGCCCACGAGGAAGGCATGGGGGTGTGTGAGAAAGTGTTGAAGATGGAGGGGCTGTCTTATAACTTCCAGAAACAGCTTGGTGAGAGTTGGACATCATCAACTTATTACCGCAAAAACCAAAGCATTTTTTTAGCTCCAAAAAAGCCAACCAAAACTAATTTTGAGCTACCTCCTAAAAATTTTGAGAAGGAAAAAATTTGAGAAAATGTTTTCTTAATTTCAAGAATCGGCTGGGTTGGAAAACTAAAGATGTACTTATATTATTGCTTTCATGATAAGTGTTAGGTCGATGTAAGGTCGTTAAATTTCAACAGTGAATTGTATGGCAAAGTTGATCAGGTGTAGCTAATAAAATTGTAAATGATTTAGGCATCGTGAAAGTTGATAGCTTTAACCTGATATATTTTTTCTGAAAATTCAAATAAGATTCGCTCGTCAAAAGATGCAATATGAGGTCATTAAACCGATATAATGTAGGCCGAAATTAATCAAGCCGAAAAAAGAGAAGAGATAAGACTAAAACAGAAAAAAAAGTACCTGAGTCAAGACCTCATGCAACACTACCAGACCCACTTTGAAAAGTAATAAGAATTCAAATAATCTTTTTTTTCTGCTACTCAGCGTACATCAACACTCAATTTTTCCTAGGCTTTATATCTATGTTTACGCTTGCGATTAGCAAGAATTATCAAATCTGAGTACAGACTTTTTTGTGTTAACAACTAGTTTAACAAAATCACAATCAATTGCGCAGCATTCAATTCAGCATGCTCGATATCTTGAAAATTCAAATTTAAGTACTGGTAACCAAAAATATTTGACGGCTAAGGGCCTAGGCTTGAATCCACGGTCAGCACCTGTATTTTTAAAACCCAAAGTATTTTGTACCAAAAAATCATTGTCCTATCAGTTGTCTGCTTGTTTTGTCGGCTTAGTTTCCACATCTCTTACCTTTTTTGTTCTGTAAGCTAATTTTATGGTAAATGAAAGAATGCCACATTGTAGAATTTTTTTTTCAATGCGCAATTTTCATTGTAGTTGCTCTTCGTGTTTTGATTTACCTCGGCTGTTTGTATTTTCTTGACGTCGAATTTTTTTTCGCTTGAAACTTTTCTGCCTGTATTTCGGCTTGTATTGTATCGGCTTATTGACCTAATGTTGAGTCGTTTCACGTGAAACTTAGTTTTTTTGCTCACCTATGGATTGCACAAATTGCTTAAGTGCCTAGAAGAGAAATTAAAAAATTAAAATTCATAAAAGCATTTTTTCTGTTTTTGTTTTTTCTTTTCTTTTTTTTCGGCTTGATGGATTTCGGCCTACATTATATCGGCTTAATGACCTCATATTGCATCTTTTGACGAGCGAATAAAATTTTTGTTTTGGTGTGTTTAGAGGCTGAGGGGGAGTTAATAATTTTTCATTATTTGTAAGTTTTTTGAATTGTTTTTTGGCTTTTTTGCTTGCTATTACCAATTTATCAAATCGAAATATAGACCTTTTTTCGGGTTAAACATTAGTTTAACATAATCAATTGAATCAATTATGATGCTGACAAGCTCAAAAAATTTTCATGAAATTTCAAATTTAACTACATCATGCTGGGGTACTAGTGACTACTGCATGCCATATCTAGAACTCAAGCTATTGTATATATAATTATAGATTTTAATTTTCTGATATTAATTTTCTGCTGATGATTTTTCGGCTTCATGTTTGTCGAATTAAGTTCTATCTTTTTAGTTTTCTAATGATGTAGTCTACTTTGCATACGCTACTGATATATCTATCGTGGATCCTATGTGGGCGTTACATGAAATTTTTTCAATGTTTCTTGACGAAAGTTCTTGGCTGAGTTTATTTTTATTGGATGTCGGCTTCAGTTCTGTCGGCTTATATACCGATTTTTTTCCTCCCTAAATTATAGTACTTTTGAGATCGATAAGACTCTGGCACCATTTTTGAATGCCCAAATTCATCTCGACTATGACCTCTTTGAAAAACCACGAAAAAAATGCTTTTTCTTTTAAAATGTTTTTCTTGTTTTTCTACTTCTTGTTTCAATTGGATCATCGTTCGAAGTTCTGTTTGCTAATTTTTATTCTTCATGGTGCACTCATCCTATAATTGTTATATTGCAAGTGGAGCGAAGCTCAGCTTCGCCTTTTTGTGGCTTAATAGGTTTCGACTTATATTATATCGGCTAAATGGCCTCATTTTGATTCATTTGACGAGCAGTTAAAGTTTTGTGTTTGTGTGCGTTTTGAGGGCGAGGAGGAATTTTTAATTTTTTGTAAATCTTAGTTGTTGATTTTTTCGGCTTAAAGAGTTTCTGCTAAAGTATTTTTGGCTTTGATACCGCTAATAATTTTTTTTCTTCAGATGCTAGTTTCACATTTTTGATTTTTTTCCGACTTAGCGGCTTTATTGTTTTGTAGCGCAGGTTGTTCGAAGCGCAGCTTCGCCTCTGTGGTAAAAATTATAATTGTCCTAAGGGACACTTTAGCAAAGTAGAGCTTTTTCCTTTGACCTTTTATAAACTTGCTCTGTTATGTTCAGATGTGATCATGAGTGAGTATGACGATTACTTCTCCAAGGTCATAGCCGAAATCACCAAGGTCACCAGGTCACTCGAGGTCAGCATCGACACGTCAGTCAGTTCAAAGCCCCCAGTCAGCAAATTCACTCCAGGTGAGTTACAAACTTAAAAAAAAGCACTATGAATCAAGTGAGGTAGAGTACAATAAACCAGCAAGACGGCATTGAAATGTACTTTTTATCCATGAGTGTCGAAAAAACGACCTCGACGAAAAAAAAATCCAAAAACAGTCTTAACTGTTTTGATTTTAAGGTTGTCTGATTTCGATGTCTTTAATTTTTAACTAATATATTGTTCATGGCTTTCCGGTATGCGAACTTTTATTGGATGATGTTGCAACATGAAATTTGAGAAAATCGAGAGCAACGTACAAGAAAGTGTTGATAATTCTAGTTGTCATGCCTCAGTGAAATGTTGTTTTATTGATTCTTGCCAATTTTTTGGCAACTTTTTTTATTTTCTTGACAAGCTAACCAAGATTAGGAGCTCAAAAGAACCAGGAACTGTTCTGCTCAATTTTGATTGACATATGAAATCGATTGCTAAAGTATTATGAAGATGACTATCTAAAAACCAGATTTTGAAATTCTCAGAAGCCTGTCAACTTAAGTTACTTTAGCTGGTTTTAGTACTAACTATCATTGAAATCGTTGAAATTTTGAGTGCACTTATTCTCTTCGAATTTGCCATCATTGGACATACTTTACAAAAGACTTTAAGTGATCTCCAAAACTCCCACAAGATTAATCCACACGGTCGTTTAACTACTCCCAAGCCGCCAAATACAATAAGATGGTGTTACACAACTGTTTATTATGCTGTTGATGATGAAGTTAAGAAAATCCCCGCTGGCGCCACTGGACGAGTTTTTCGGTGGTCAAGTTATGATAATAAAATATTCCCGCAAAATTCAGATTTTGCTATTTCAAAACCGAAAAAAAACTAATAACAATTTTTCTGAAGTAATAACTACTGCCCATGGATTTTGCAAGATTTACAGAATTCAGATTGTGTGCGGTCCAAATATATCAGTTCAGGTGCGGATCTAGGATTTTCTCGAGGGAGATGGGGCGGATTTCAAAATTGATTTTCTGAGCATTCCCAGAACACTATAAAGACCCTATTTCGACCAAAAAAATTGCTCCGCTGGCAAATTTTTGAAAAACAGATCAAAAGTGCCGTTTTTGGGCACTTCGGAAAATTTGACCATAAAATCGCATTTTTCGGCGCGCGCTTCCCTTCAGAATTATTATAGATTGGTGCAAAAGGCGCGTTTAGAAAAATTTTAGGGTTGGTCGGCCTAAAATGAATGTCAAAAAATAATACCAAAGGGGATCCTTTGGTTGGTGATGGGGTCGAATCCCCAAATACGCGTCTGGATAAGTTGGTTCTCGAAAGTATAGATAAGTCATCGAAGAAAACCTCAAAGGTACTGAAATCTTCGAAAGTACCATTGGATTTGTTTTCTTAGTTCACGCACCGCGCCAAGATCTTGATCAAAAATTAATCATGATTATGACTGGACAAGCTTCTATGCTTGCTTTTCGCATGCGATTAACTATCATAATTTGTGTTGATTTAGAAGGCTACAGGGGTAACGTGGCTATCGTTAGCTCACAAGACCCTTCTGAAACTAAAGGTATCATCCGTCATCAAACATAACAACGCACAATTCAGACTCAAGCACTGTTCAAACTTTAGATTTGATCTATTTAGCACCCTACTAACAATCATCGTGCGTGCGTAAAACACCCTTTTAAAGACCCACTCTTTATACTTTAAACCTTGTGACCGGAAAAGTTTATTCAGTCATTGTTTTTGAAGACCAATATTGGTATTATAAATTTGTGAACAGTAAAAAGGGTTGTTCGAAACAACACTAGATGTAACTTTTTTTTGGAAATCTATTCGTTTTTAGTTTTCGAATTGACAAAATTGACTTAGTCTTATAAAGGCTCGGATATGGTTTGGTGTTTCAATTGATCCATATAATTGAAAGCATTCAGAGTCGACCTAAACATTTGTTTAAATCAAGATAAAGCTTGGTGCGCAGATGATAAATTTTGTAACGATGAACCAATTAACCATTCTGAACACAAGTGATTTACTATCCATTTATCAATTAGAAATCGGGCCTTATGCGCTAAACGGCTCAAAATCAGTTTTTCTATATCTTGAACTGAAATTGATGTGGTTGATCATGATTAGCTTATTACCAATCAATTTCAAACACTATGGCCCGTCATTTCAAACAAAAATTTGTCATAAAATGACTGAAAATATAGAACTTGGACTTGAAATTAAATTGGTTTTTTGGCAAAGTTGCACTCGATAATTTTGATTGATATTTTTAACTACTGGAAATTTTGATTGAAATGCTTGACCGTGTTGCTTGAATTTGATGGGCTAAAATTAGCCAATCAAATTTCACCTGCATAAACTTTAAATCAAGACATGGAAATTTTGATTTTGGGCTGTTTAATGCTTAAGACTCTACAAATTTTTTATTTATTAAATCATAACAAGCCTGGTCTTATATCAGGGGAAAACCCTGAATATTCCGACTGCCCCGTAGTTGGTATTGAATAGTTATTGCTGAAGGAAATTTGAGTAATGATGAAGTCGATACGACCGATTAGCTTGCCCCGGTTCAATTTGGAATGATTTTGTAGCGTGGCATAATTCACAGCGCATAAATAAATCGCGTTACGCCTTCAGCATCATAAATAACGTCTTCAGAGAGCGCATAAATTAGTCCAGAGCAAATAAGCAATTTTCAAACCCTCAGATTTTAACAAAAATAATCGAAGGTAAAATATCTTTTAACATTTGAACACAAGCGATATATTCAATGGGGTATTAAAAATTTGATCAATAGAATTGCTTGAATTATGGCGAATCCTCTAAATCTTCCAAAGGTTATTCATTTATAATCAGTTTTCACAAAAAAAAACATATATTTTAAAATCTGTATTTCCCCAAGCACAGTGTTAAGTACTAAGTGATATAGTTCGCATCAAGTAACACATTATTCGGATCAAATAGCTTGTTTAACTCAATTTGGATTAATTTCGGAGCCGACTAAATGTGCCAAATTTGCTACGCTTCAATAGAAAACTGCAATTGTCTAGCAAAACTTTTGTCTTGTGGGACTTCTGTTTGTCTGCTTTTTTTGCCAGTACCAAATTTCCCTAATTTTCGGCATTTTTTACTGAATTTTAAAAACGGTTCAGTGTTTTGCGGTTTTGGGCAAGTAATTGAGTTCAAAAAGTTTGCTTATTTTTTGCCATTTGATTTTTTTCATTATGTTGAGTAAAAGTTTTAGGTAGTTGTTTTCTTTATAAATTCAACGAGTGTTCTGAGCATTTGGTGCATCGATAGCAACCATGCTTGAGACGACAAATTCCAGAAGTAGGATTACAGCCGGGGCCTGTTTTTTGTGGAAACTGAAAATTTTCAAATATTTTAGACTTTGGTATTTGCTTATTTTTGACGACTTAAGTCCCTCAGAAAGTTTCGGTTTGTTTTGAGCATTTTGAAAGCTCTTTGTAAAGTTTCTAATTGTGCAGGAAATTTTGTTCCAGGAATTTTTTTGTTTGTTTGCATTTTTAGTTTTTTGATTTGTCTTTTCATTTGCTTATAATTATAGTCATTCAGTTGTGTATCGCGAGTAATGCGAAGATCCGCTTCGCCTCTGTGTAAAAAATTCTACTTAAAAGGGTTAATTGCAAAGTCGATGTTAGTCTGAATAAAGAAGCACACGAAGCCTAAGTGTTCCGTCGGAGCAAAATGAAGGTTAATCAAATCATATATGGCTGGAGTGAGTATTTTGTTAATTGTGCTAACGGGTGATGATCCGACGCAAGTTTGTACGTAAAGAAAAGAGACTGATACCAGTCATTCAAATGCAGCATCCAAAGCCTATCTTTTATATCCTTATTTTGCGACAATTTAATTAACACCGGAGAAACGGCAATAGATATTTTGAATGCTCAGATATTGGATGAAATGAAATGAGTTGTATGGGTATGTTGATACTTGATTCAGTCACCCATGGAAGTAACATTACCAGGTTTTTCTGATCTTATTTTACCATACCATGTTATCGCTTCTTTCAAATCGAAACAAAGGACAAAAGTCATTTTAAATTTGAGCTAACTATGCTACCGGTGTTTTCATTGAACAAATTTCTGTGAGTGAAATGATAGGTGATTGAAAGACCAAGTTCGGCGATATTAAGCGGAAACTTTATCGGCTCAAAATTGTTCCAAAATTAAATGAAGCAAGCCACCTGAAAGTGGGCCTGCCTCTTAGCCAGTATGTTTGTCGGTGTAGTTTGTGAGTTTATAAAACTGCTCAAAATGTAAAAGCCTCAGAACAATTTGTTTATGATTATGATTCTCATTGCTATTTTGTTAAATATCTCTATTTCAACTGAATGACTCTTCGGTTAGCGATGTTTAGTTAATTAACATTTTCCATAAATGTTTATATATTTTGTCTATACGAATAATACAAATGTTTGAAAGAACTCCGTGATCCTGGAAGTGATATCTGAAATTGACCATTGAGTTTATTTTCAGATCAATCCAAGATCGAGATTGAGCAGTCAGGAGTGTTTGCGGCTAAATATGTCGACAAACTTCCGGTGAGTTAATATTGAAACCTTAAGTTTTCAGGAATGACAGAAATAAGATAATTTCACCTCGAACTTTTGAACTTCTCATAAATCGACTGATAGGTGGCAATATTTACATCGATTTAATCACCTTCAGTGATTTTAAGCCTCATTAATTGGAAAAAGTTCTTTTAATTGGCGTGGTGAATAGAAATTTTCGTCTAAGATATCGTAAAGAAACTGGGAACTCTTCAACTACTCCTCAAAGCTCTATGGCACAGAATTGTCAGTAACGAATTGCCCCCCCCCCCCTATATAGAACTAATTCATCTATTAACCGTATGTGAATTTTGTAACTATTAGTGAATCTCCCCTTGAGCAATAGGGGATGGGATAGTTTAAGAGACCAGAAACTGTTAAAAAAAAACCAATCTTTCCCAGTATTTTTGTTGCCGCAATCATTATAGAATGCAAGTTCGTTAATCGTACCTAACTTTTAGAGCTAAAATTATAAGTCGTTATGAAAGGCATAATTTATTTTGAATTCTAGAAAGAATGACGAAAGAAATTGATCTGATAGTTGATGATTTTATAGTTTGAATGGTCATAGTTCATTGAAACTGTCTGTCGGCTAAATTCTTGTCAGTCTAATTTTGTTGTATTTTATAAAAAACATTTTGGTTAGTTTCCATAAATAATCGTCGATATTGCAAGTTACCTTATTTGACGTTTCTTACATTGTCATTATTCACTGAAGCAGCAAGGCTTAGACTACGATTGATACATTTTTTTTCGAGTTAAAGAAAGAGCCAACAAGCTTTTTTCCATCCTCCTAGTGCCTTGCTAATGTTGATCTCTTGTCATCTTTCAGGGAGTCCTGAAGAGCGAAAACTATGACCCCAATGGATCCAATGTCGACGATGATGGACACTCTCACGGACACTCGCGACAGAAACTGTACCTGGTCATGTTCGCGTGCATGTTCACAGGATGTGTGGTCGCTACTATTTTGATCTCAATCTTGAGAAGGAGGCCACGTGGTCGCATGGTGGGAGGCAACACTTTCGTCCGGGTCGACAACAACCCCCACCCCTTAAGTCCTGAGGACAAACATATTAACTCTCTCCAGGTTTGTTCAATTAGTTTTGAAATTTTCAGTTTGGAAAAACTTTTTTTCTTACGTTGTCATAATGCAATGAAACTTGGCATGGTGAACAAGTGAACAACTGAACATTTTGTTCTTCATACCTTACAACGTAATATCACACAATACAAAAAAAATGAAAATTTAAAGGTGGAGGAGTGGAAAAGAGTCGCCTTTAAAAAACTTTTTGGGTAAGCCAGCTAAAAATGAAGGCCTTAAAATAGCGCCAAAGGGGGTCGCTATCAGAAGGTCGAATCCCTGGGGGGTTCTCCGCCCTCTAAATCCGCTATGTTTCAAATATAATAAGCTTTTATATGTATTTTTTGTATCCCGAAGTTGTTGATTTTTCTTAAACGCCTCCTGTTTTTTATAGGTCAACGGGTACTATAATCCTATCTACAAATTCTTCGACGAACCTCAAGAAACCTAATTTGGGTTCATGCAACAGCGAACGAAAGAGCTAAAAGAACTGCTTAATGATTCCATGAACAACTATTCAGTTACAACTACTGATTGGAGTTGACTAATGCTTCCATTATTTCTGTCCATACCTGTAAATAGGAATTTTAGTTGTCTTGTTAAATTAAGGATCACGACGCAGTAGAATTTTTAACCCCATTTGGCTAATTCTTAATTTTAATGATGAATTAAATGATCTACTTAACTATTTCGAACTCTTATTAAGAGTCATGAACGTAGTGAACACTCTTATATAGGTCTTGGTGATTTCTTTTGTTTTTTTTTTCAGGAAAAGGTCTTAAAATTTGTTAACGCTCGAAGTTTGATTTTTAGCGGTTTGACTTTTGATTTCTTTTTAGACTCAGTTCATTTTTTTGTTCAAAGGAAGGCAAACTCCTATATCGAACAGCAAGAAACGTGTTGATCGATTTCTAGCTTCGAAAGTGAAATTTAATTTACAGATTTCCCATTGGAATAGAAATTTGACTCATTGATCCAGTTTTCTCAAATTGGGTTATTTTTATCAAAAAAGTGTCAATCATGAATTGTTCTAGAAAAAAGTTCAAAAAAATTCTAGATAGCTTATCAAAGCTATCAATTTTTAAGGTTTATTTTAATTCAAAGAGCTTTAAGGTCATGTATTTTTTCTTGAAAATTAGAAATTTGAAGTCTTTTTCTTTAATTCAAAGAGTTTTAAGGCCATGTATTTTTCTTTAAAATTCGAAATTTGAAGTTTTATTATATTTCCTTGCGTTCATGACTCTTTTCCAAACTGTCTGTTGGCTGTGTTTTTAAAAATTGCCCGTGTTGCCTTTAAATATACCGCAGAATATTTCAATACCTAATTTATAGATGTATAACTATACCACCGCAAGCAACATCTGGTAACTGGGGAAGGGTAAAAGTTAAGTAGGTCCAAAATATTTATTTAAATTTACGTGATGCGGTAATTTGTACATGTTATCTGGAAACTACTTCAAGGTCAGCCTTCTATAAAGAGCCAAAACATCAAAAGGCTAAAAAAATTGTGTTTCTTGTAAGATGTTTGGTGATAAGATATTGGCTGCTCAATTTAGTTTCATGATAAAGTGGTCTTTTGATACATTTGCGATTGCAGACTTTCTGTTCAGCGACCTACCTTTTTTTGCTGCTTTACTATTCAATTGATTTCATTCATGAATAATGAGGTATATTTTTTCAAATAAATTCGTTTAAATAATTCGTGAATTCAATTAGATTATAGTAAATTAGTCACACCGATATCAATTTTTAGTTTCATAAAGTCATAATCCATCTTAAAAGTTCTATTCTATTTCTATTCTGACCAGTGAAAAAAAAACTTAGCATAATGTTCAAAAACTATCGAAATAGTCAAAATTGTAGCTCTGGTCGGGATAAAATAAACCTCTCACCTCTCATACAGCCAATCAAGCCGAACTTTTAAATCTTGAGTCACCAATTTAAGATTTGACCAAAAGTGATATATAATAAATTGTATGAATCACAACTAAGGAGAGGATGGCCAATGTGATAAAGTCAAACCTTGACCCTAACCAAGTAGGTAGTGCTCTAATAAAATAGTGCTCTCTAATGAATATAAAATCCATATTGTTTTTCACTCAAAAAATGCATTGAAAGCGCCACTCAACTGTTTTAAAGTCCATTCGTCTAAATTGAGCTGATAATTTTGGAATTCTCAACTAATGCCTGCAAAGATGTCAACCCAACTCCCGACTGGCCAGTAAATAGCAGATATAAAGTAATAGCGGTTATCAGCTCGATCCCTGTGATTTATTCAAATAACAAAAGTTCAGTTGCAGTAAATTTAGGCTTTCTGACTACTCTTTCTGCTGTTAAAAAATTTGGAACATGTCAGACATTTTGTTCAATTCGTGTCGAAAAGAAGGGAAAGAACTTCTGCTTTGATTGAATAAAAATTAGGTAAAATTACCGCAAAAGAACAACTAAAAATAGCTCCCGAATTCGATTTTTTATGACCAATCAAGTTTTTGCGAGAAAAGCAGATCATTTTTCCTCGACAACAGAAGAACTCTTCTTGAGCACGTTGCTAATCAAATTTTGACTGGTATAGCCTTAAATTGATATCACTAACGTTTTTACGAGCCTTTCCTGAGATTTTTTGTTTTTTTATACCCCTGGAAGTTTTTTATTCGAAATATAGTTGTTTTAAGAAAAATGCCAAAATATCAAAAAATTTCATTCTCAAATTATTCGCAAAACAACGAAGGTTATGAGAGAAGCTCAAATTTTGAGCTTTTTAAATTAACTGTTTCATGCCTCATCAGTACCGCAAACTAAAAAACTATCAAATTAGGTAAGTCCAGCTTTAGATGTGCGCTAATTGTTCTTGAAGTTCAAAGAGCTTTAAGCTCATCTGTTTTCTGGGTAGTTCGAAAATTGAAATTATTTCAAAAAAAAACATGTCTGAATTTTTTTTTCCTGTTAACTTGCGTTCATTTACTCTTTTCCAATTATCTGTCGGCTATTTTAAAAAATTTTCTCATTTTTGAGAAAAACCGGTTTTAAATTTGTGATTTTGTTGAAATTGAAGCGAAGAGGGCGAGCATGCAGGTGCTTAATAGGCTTATAATAGAAGACTAGAAATTCAAGTTGGTCCGCGAGAAGATAACTGTTGTCGGCTATACTTCATTTACTATTTGTTTTAAGATTCTTCAATTCTAGGTTTTTCAAATCGTCGCATTAAATTGCTCGATCACAAAAAATATCCGACAACACGGTCCGACCGCAAAAAGTTTTGCATCATGACATACGTTTTGATAATTTCGTGTGGACATTAAGGGACAGAACTTATTGCTTAGATGAATGAAAGTTGAGTAAAGCTACTGATAAAGAATAAACAAAAATGCTTCCAGAATTCGATTTTTGATGACCAATCGAATTTCTGCGCGAAATGCGGATCTTTTTTTGTCGACACTGGAGTGTTTCTTCGGAATGCTGGAAATTCAAATTTTGGCAGGTATAGCTCTAAATTGATATCACTATTGGTTTTACAAGCTTTCGCTGAGATAATCTGAGATCATTCATTGAATGAAAAAAATGGCGCCATTTCAAAATTAGTTTTAGAACCTTTGAGAGCGCGTTCTTGGGAATATAATATTTCTTATTTTCATTTTTTCTATCAATTTTTGATGATAAGTGTTGTTGGACATTCTTCATTCCCTGTTTTTTTTGAATTTTCTTCAACTCTAGTTTTTTGTTCTAATCGTTACATCAAATTATTTTGTTCAAAAGTTTCAATGCTAATTACACCTTTACGGGTTATCCTTGTTTATTAAGTGTCCATAAATGTACGAATATACTTATATAGGTCACGTTGATTTTTTTTGAAGTTTATTGATTTTTGAAATTTAAAGACTAAATCTATCCAGAAAAATTTCAACCATTTGGTTTTAATTTTGGCGTTCTTTGGCTGTCTTCTAACTCTCTGCTGACTTTTTTTACGACCATTGAAGATGGGAAGCAACGTTGCATTCGTTGCTTTTCTGTTTTTTATTTGTTTTCTGCGCAAATCTGGTATCACAAATTATCATCGGAATGAGTTGGTTGATATATCATAACAGAGTTCTGTTAAACGAAATTCGAACAACATTTATCATAACTCAAAACGTTGTTCGAGTATTGAAAAAAAAACGCGTTCAAAATTTTTGAGATATAGTCTAATTTGGAGCAGGAAAATGTTAGCTAACTTCAATTTTTTAATTTGTTTTGTGTTTAGTTTTTTTGAAAATGAAAATGTAAATGTCGGGTGTTGCTTAGTTCAATAACTTTACACGCGATTGTGTAGCTATTTTATTACACCTATGAGAGTAAAAAACGACACAAAGTTGAAGAAAAATTTAAAAAGAAAAATTTGTTGATTTTTCTATGAAGGAGGTAGAAAAATACTGTGCTAAATGCACAGCAATCGGCTTTTTGTTGCCTTTTTCTCCTGGACACAATCGTTGCGGTAAAAAACTTTCAATTTCAAAATATGAGTGTTCCCGTCTTCTGTGCAAAATGAAGTTTTCTTAAAATTAGTTTTAAAAACTTTCTTTGACTCTGTATACCAAACGAAATGTAGTTGGTCTTAAATTAACAAGTAGAAAGCTTGAGCTGTGAAATCAAAACTGGGACTAAAAACACAAACTTTTGAAATTAGTTGTTGCTTAAAACTCATTCGTTAATCTTATAATCAGCACAAGCTATGTTGAGTACAAAAAATATGTTTTGCGTCTGGTAACGTGTTGTTAAAAGAAATTTGTTTGCCTCATTTCATTGTGAACAATTAACTGTTCAGACTTTCAAAGAAAACGGAATATTCATGCTCGCCCGTTGCAGTTCCATAGCAATTCAGAAATGTATAATTGTTATTGCATTGTTTTGACATGTTTCAGGGATGTACCAGCGCAAATACACAAATAAACTATGTTTTTTTTCTATGATAATTGGTTTGCTATTACTTGTTACGAAAACATTGGTGTGACATCAATGAAAACCGATGTGACATCTATTTTATAATAGTTTTGTTGCATTGATCTATGTCACATCCATGTTTTCCATGATTTTTCGATGATTTCCTTGCTCGTTTTTGAGCCCAACATTGGAGTTATACTGATCATTTTCTTGAATTTTATAACATCTGGCACCTGTGTTTATACTAAGAAAAATCGAAAATAAAATATTTTTGTTGTTTTTTAATTTGAGTTATAACTATAATAAAAAAAAATTTGAAAATTATTTCAATGATATCGAAGATTGGTGGATTTGGGGACCGGCAAAAAACCAAGATGAAACATCAGTTTATTTTTCCTCCATGTTTCATCCATGTTTCATGGATGAATCATATAACTGACATCCATGTTTCAGGCATGATTCATCGATGAAACATCAATGTAATTTGCATTCATGTTTCATAAATGAAACATGGATAAACATCGTTAAAGTTGCAGTGCAATATTCAGTCAAATTTCCCCGAGCAAAATAATTTGAATTACCCCATCGAAGTTCGAACTTAAAAAGATAAATTACCTACAATTTTTTTTGTAAAGTTCTGGGGGTTTGGAAATTGCCAAATTGGCCATGTTCTGGATTAAACTATGAGCGCTTTGAAGAAATTATTCATTTTGCTGAGAGCGTAACGCGAAATATTTACTCGTGGTGAATTATCCCGCACAACAAAATCGTTCCAAAGTGAATTGAGGCTAGCTAATTAGTCGTATTAATTTAGTACGAAAACTTCACACTGTGTTATTGTCCAAAACTTGTAGGTTT